TAGCCAAAAAACTACAATATTTCAGCGTACCCTTAAATAGACCCTAAATTCCCTAAATTAAAGCCTAATTGAAAAAATTTCCTACAAAATCAAAAGCTAAACCTTTAAAAAGAGATGGCCTCTTAAAATTAAAAATTCATAATTTCCGATCAAGCTCAGAAAATCTGAAAATATCTTTTTAAAACATCTGTTTCAGACTTTGACGGCGTAATCTCCGAGGTTTATGCATTAATTGGGGGACTTTGGCTTACATAAAAACCCAAAAAAGATATTATTTTTATGGCGTGTTTCATAATTGCGCAGCCCAATGGCCGCTTTTACGCATCAATGTAAACGGGTTTCCATTACCTAAAATCTTTCGGAAAAGTTCAAGTAAGCTTTTAAGTTGGCTATAGTTTTACTCCGTAATATCAAAAAAAATCCTGCGAAAACCAAAACTGCGTTTCAGCGTGTTGTCAATACGATGGCAAGCGATTACAACGTTAATCAAAAGAGCGCTCCTGAGGGGCTTAGAATTCCAAAACGGACAACATTTTTAATTTTGTTAAAAAAGCGATTGGCGAAATTTTTAGAACATGTGTTGCAGAATCGAACCGGGTAAAATCTTGTGTTTATGCTTTAATGCTTGCTTTACATTTCCGGCGCTTCCAAAAATCTCAAAAAAATCTGGATGCTTCACCGCTAGGGTTTCCCGTGATTGGGTGGTGTTCAAAGATCGACGTCACGTTTCCGCGAAAGCGCCAGACTTGATGTGATCGATTCGAGTTGTTCATCCCGCATCGAGTAGGATTTGAACGTATATAAATATTTCCTCAGCTATATTAAGAGAGTCTGCATCCCCGAAATTGAAAAACTGTAACACACCTTTTAAAAGTTGACGATTCATCACTTCGAATTGAAAAATCACTTTGAAAAGATCTGTATCAGAACTTTGACGTGGCATGGTCGTGATTTTTGTGCATTAATTCAATTTTTAATTTTAAAAATTTTTAGTTTTGTTAATAAAGCGATTGGCGAAATTTTCGGAACATGTGTTCCAGAATCGAACCGCGTAAACTCTTGTGTTTACGCATTAATAAGAGATTTGCGGGACGTGGTCGAAAAAATCCGGAAAAATCCCACAAATTTCGATCGTCATCGCCCGGGGTTCCCCGTGATTAGGTGTTGCTCAAAGATCATCGTCACGTTTCCGCGAACCCGCTAGATTTGATATATGATCGGCGGTAGATGTTCTCTCCTCGAAACGAGTCGAATTGGTACGGCATAACGTGATTAACCTTGGTATAATAAGAAATTGTTTATCGCGCAGAAAATAAAATAAACTGTAACATTCTTTTTGGACCCAGAAAATCAGTACTTTCTAACCCAACTCGAAAATCGAAAACGACTTCCTGAAAATGTGTTTCAGAATTTTGACGGGGCGATGTCCGATGTTTTGGATTAATTCCAGACGGGGTTTGCTTATGCTTCCGAAAATCCGATTCCCGAAAATTGGTTTCCCGAAACTCGGAGCCCCGAAAATCGGAGTCCCGAAAAATCTGACTCCCGAAAATCTGAGTCCCGAAAATCTGAGTCCCGAAAAATCTGACTCCCGAAAATCTGAATCCCGAAAATTTGGCTACTGGTTTTTAGGCTTCCGGCCCCAAAAAAAAACCCAAATCACTGCGGGTATTTTCGGGACTTAGATTTTCGGGAGTCGGAGTTTTCGGGACTCCGATTTTCGGGAGTCAGATTTTTCGCGACTCAGATTTTCGGGACTCAGATTTTTCGGGACTCCGATTTTCGGGACTCCGAGTTTCGGGAAACCAATTTTCGGGGATCCCATTTTCGGGAGTGTCATCGGAATTCATTCCAGACCATTTGCTTTGATCAAGATTCTGAAATCTATTATTTCTAACGCCAGTTTCAAAATTAAGCTGCACAATGTCCTCTTTTTACACATTGATGTGAATGGGTTTCCCCTGTCTAAAATCTTTCTGCTTGCAAATCCTTGTGAAATATGTTTCAAAATTTTGCCGGTTAGATGGCGGCGATTTAAGCGTTAATGCATGTTCGTTGTGAAGCGCTAGAAATTCTGAAAATGCCAGCTCTTTAATTCCTTAACAACAGCGATTGGCACGATTTTTAAAGTGTGTTTCAGAATCTGTGCATATCTGGTGCTAACGCATTAACATACTCGGATTTTACGACGATTCCCAAAATCCCAAAAATCTCGATGCGTCACCGCTCGGGGTTTCCCGTGATTTGGGTGTGGCTCAAAGATCATCGTCACGTTTCCGCGAACCCGCTAGATTTGATATATGATCGACTGGAGATGTTCTCCCAGGATCGACGCGTATTCGGCGAGTCGGCCCCCTTTTAACTGACTGACCATGTTGATGACGACACGACAGTCGAGAAGATTCTGCTCTTTCTCTTTCTCTCTCTCTCTCTCTCTCTCTCTCTCTCTCTCTCTCTCTCTCTCTCTCTCTCTCTCTCTCTCTCTCTCTCTCTCTCTCTCTTTCTCTCTCTCTCTCTTTCTCTAGCTCTTCTTAACCATCCTGACCTCGATCACATCCCCCAAAATCCAGGTAACAGGACAGAGAGACAGACTGCAAAACCGTTTTTTCACTCGGCGACCTGGTCACCAAATTTTTGAACACCAGCAGACGGAGGAGGGCTCGACGAATCGATTATTTGAGGGGTGGGATTTTTAAGGACGACTCTATTATGCCGACGAATTCCTAGAAAATTCCAAATTTCTCACTACAATTTTTGAAACATCGAAAATTTAAAAAAAATTGAAAGTTTAGACCGTTAATCGATCTTTTTAAGAATTTTATACTTTTTTATTTAAATAACTAACCTAGAATTCGTAGAAAAGGGTCTGAATCTATTATGTTTTGCACGCTCATTAGGTTCTTGTATTTTTAGGTCTGCGTATCACCAAAACAAGGCCAATTCCCGAAAAATTCAAAATTTTGAGACGGCTAATATTTGAAACATCGGATTTCAAGAATTTTGTCCTAGTAACGGCTCGCTAAACGTATTATTTGCAGGTGCTAAATCAGTGTTATTTTTCTTGGAAATTTTTCTCGAATTCAAGTAAAAATTCTGAAGGGGACAATGCTTAATTTTGAAATATCGAAATTGAATCGACAGCGAGTTCGTGACAAGAGCATTCTGAGGGTTTCTCCCTTTTCCGAAACATTAATCGGTACTGGACTATTAGCAGGGGCAGGGATTTTTTGTGGGGGGGGGGGAACCGTAGGGCCTCGTGACGAACTATAAATAATTTTTTTCTTATATATCAAAATCGTATATATATCAAAAACCCAAAAAATATCAATAGGACAAAACACCGAATCCCGACAAAATTTAGAAATTTCCGTGCCAGGTTTTTGAAACATTGAATTTCAAAGGCTTTTTGCGGCGCTGCTATCTGTCGCTGCTACTGTAATACCTGTTATTTTTGCTAGTAACCCACCGGGAATTACTGCTAAAATTTCTCAGGTCGCTGCTTACTTTTGAAACCTCTAGGCGTCTAACGTAAAACCAAGTAGGATCGGGAGCCAGCTTCGTCAGTCAGCTTCTCGGAACCCTGATTTTTTGCGTCAATTTTATACATAGTTTGTTTCTATGCGATTTCCTTGAGAAATTTCATACGTTAACGCCATTATTAGACTAATTTTTAGATGTTATTAAACTGCAGAGCCCGATTTGGGCCCCCCTGTAATCCCATTAGGGCCATTTTTTAATCATATTCTTGTGGAAAAATTGTTTGTTTCAAGGCAAATCGATTATTTGACAGGCAACCGTGTGTTTACTTGATCGGAATAAATCTTGAGGCTGTACTGGATTAACAGTTTTCGTTTGGAATTTCGCACTAACATGAAAGTATTTGTCGCGGAGGCTGAGTATAAAAGGCCTGGGAAGCCCTTATCGGGGCTCACTTCCCAGGCCCCCATCCCGGACGGCGGCGACTCGGAGAGTCGCCGACCGGCTCACCTTTACCGTAGGCTTAGCCTCCCGCGATGTTCTGTCTCCTAATTAATAGTCCTCCCAAAATATATAAGCACACATTAATAGAACTCATCAAGCCGCGTTTAGACATAACTAACACTATCTAACCGCGCAACATGGAGGTCCCACCGAGATGGCTCCTAATTTGTAGGCTAGCCATACTCCGTTTTTCGTGCTTAAATTAAATAAATTGTCCTAAACCCCGGAGTTCCGATTGGGAACCCGTATTTTCGAGAAACCTCAATTGGAGGTAGTGAAGCTCCAGTCCTGGGAAGGAAAGAGCAAGCCAATTGGGCTGGATCGTTGGATCCGAAATACGCCATTGGGCATTCCGAGCAAGTGAAAATGCCATTGAGGCGCTGTGAAATTAAAAAAGGTCGTTGAGGCTTTGTGAATTGTAAGGTATAAAAGGACAAAAGCCAACTGGGCTTCAATAATACTATGCCCCTATATGGACCTCGAGTCCATCAAATACAGATTCAGCACGTTAGGGAGCTGACCTTTTCGGGAAATGATGTATGCCGAAAGGCAAGCCCATGCCCAGGGTCAAGCGCAGGCCTAAATGGGAATTTTGTGGGCGAGGAGCTAAAACAGATGGGTACTGCAACGTTATAAAAGCGCCAATCTTCGCGTAAAACGTGTTGAACCGTTGCAGGGTGAATCATATTATAAATACGCGAAGACACCCGCCAACCCGGCGAAGGCTTACCGGGAGACCGGAACATTAGTTCCTTAGGGAAAGCTACGTGCCAACCCAGGTCTAGAACCCACTGGGAGTTACTCCACTCCTTACATCATGTTCCAGGCTAACGAAAGCGGTCAAAAAAGAGGGACTATCAGGAGATTTCGGTCGGGATTGTAAACCCGACCTTAGACCCAGCCCGAGGGGCTGAATGACCAGATAGGATGGGGAGCCGGACGGCAAGGCTGTAAATGGGCTCGCTGTGGAATGCTCAGCTGGTATATAAGCCCGAAGCGGGATAGCTGTAACAGGAGCCATGGACACTATCGATGTGTTCATGCGCACCGTCGCGCAGCTTGCGCAAGCCGCCCAAGCCGCAACAGCCGGCCCGCTAGTGCCGCCGTCGAGGCCACCAACTGGCCCTAGGGGCCGTGGACCGGCTACGCGTCCACGAAAGGTTGGTTTTTTGAGAACTCTGTCAATAAGGCTTCTAGGAGGCCAAGCCTCGAAACAATCGAGGATGGACGGAAACGCCCACGCGAGGCTGCCCTACTTGTGGCGGGCGCCATGGCCTCGCCAGCTGCCGTTCATTCGCCCAGATGAGCGGTATCAGCCGCTGGCGGGCGACGCAGGCCAGGAAGCTCTGCTTCCTCTGCCTGCAAAGCGGCCACACCGCAGCAAGCTGCGGAGCCCCGAGGTGCCCGTGCGGAGCGGCCCACCATGCGATGTTGTGCCGTATGTTCAATATGGGTTTTTTGAGAATCTTTTGATTAGGCGCTCCCCCGACCGCCCCTGATGCTGACGCCGCACAAATGCCGGAGGCGTGTGAGTCCGGGGTCCTCGAACCGTTAGAAGTGATCGACTCTGCAAGTCTGCAGTTTGAATAAATTTTTTGTGAGCACCCTCGTACCAGGCAGTGGCACCTCAAGACAGACGGGACAGAGGTTGTAAAGATAAAAAAGCGGCTAGACGTTGGTCAGTTATTTTTCCTGACCCGGAACGGAGCCCTAAAGATAAGAAAAGGAGCGCCTGGGTGAATTCCTGAGCCGGTGGCCGGCACGGGTAGATACGAAAACTCGGCTCGTGGCGATTCGAGATAAGCGGACGGCGGAGTTGATATAGGGGAATCTGGCCCCGATAAGCCATTCGTCCAAAAAATGGTCAAGTCTGAACCTGACCTCATGGACCACGATCTAATCGATGTGCCGGGTCCAGTGCCCACAACCAAAAAGGTGATGGAATTAGTCGCCTTTTTGAAGGCTCAACTGGAGCCCTTCTCCGGCTTAACCGGAGAAGATTATGAGGAATTCGCGCGCGCTTTCGTAAGCGCGGTCAACCGGCACCCAACTGGGGTGCCGCGAGATCAGGTTGGCTACCTGCTGCCCATATTCTTGAGGGGAAATGCCCTGGTGAAATATAACCAGCTGGCCCTGGAGGATCAATTGGATTACTCCAAAGCCATCAGGAAGTTAGGCTTGTACTTCCTGAAGCCGCTGGATCCTATGACCAGCTGGGTCGAGCTGAAGGCAGTCTGTCAATGGGCAGACGAACCAGTCGTGGAATACTACGACCGGTTCCTGAAGAAGGCGCGTGCCGCCTGCTTGAAAGAGGACCCGGATGAAAATCCGATGGTGCTCGCCATCTTCAAGGCTGGGCTGGTGGAAAGCCTCAAGGAAAGGCTGCTTTATGAGAAAAATCCGCCAACGTCGCTCGTCGCGACATTAAAGGAAGCTCTCCGTCTTGAAAGCCTGAGCCGTAGTTTGAAAGCCACGGCCGCCAGCACCGAAATGACGCTTCAGCTGAACGCAATCACCGCGAGACTAGACAGCCTGGCGCTGGCCGGCGGTCAGCGTTATCAGGACCGAGGGCCCCGTCCATTCCGTGGGCGCGGCAGAGGCCGTGGCCGTGGAGGTCGTTTTGGGAACGGCGGAGGTCGCCGCGACTTACAGGACAGGAATGGAAATTCCGACCGGCGAGAGCACCGGGAAGATGCGAATGCGAACCGTGGACGCCAGGGAGCGCCTGGAAATCGCATGTTGAATGCGCTCGCCCAGACACTTGGATTTGTTGCTATGTTGGCAATGATCTTCGGCATTGTGCCGATGGCTGAAGCTTATCAAATATGTGGCCTGCAAAAGCAAGGTGATTGGTTTGAGGTACCGAAACTAGAGGCTTGCCAAGTGGCCGAAGAAGAACCTGTGTGGGAAGGCAAGGCGGAGATTTTCAAGGAAGTTCTAATGCCCCAGGTCATTAAAGCACACCGATGCCAAATTGTAAATGCTACTATGTCGGTGCCTTCCATCTTCTCCTTTTTGCGCTTGCTAAGCGAGGAACCGTATGATGTTCTGGCCGTACACGGGTACGTAACAACAGTTGAGGATTGCCAGACTATGGTCCGCGAGCTTAAACTCCGCGATACCCCACTAGTAAAGGTGGCTCCAGGATATTTTCGGAGCGAATTGAAAACGGTGGAATACTTGGGGAGCAAAAGGAACAAAATTGCGCAATCGGTTGTATTTGGAGAGACCGAGATTGCGGTGACTCCGCAGGGACATCTCTTATCGCCGGCTGGGCGCCTGGATGGCTGCCGGATGGATACGGGATCCTGTCAAGCCGAAAATGCCACATTCATTTGGACAATGACCGAGCAGGAGGTGATGCGGTGTCCTTATCAGTCGGTTGGAACTTTTTCGACGAGTTTGACGCGAAATAAGATCCTGATTAAGGAGCAAAACCTCGCCGCCGGGTTGATGGCTAATCAGACTATTCCCTTGAATACATTGTTTTGCTTTAATGGAGCAAGTTTGCGAGTCAATGGGGGAATAATAGCGGTTTTTCGTGAATTTGCGAACGGAACGACTGTAGAACAGATTTTTGCAGCTCGGGAAGCAAAAAACCGTAGACCTCGAACGGTCGATCATGTGGCAAATACCTTAGCCAGAATTTATGGACCGGGCAAGGGGCGTAGCCAGAAAAAAAAATTTCGGGGGGGGCCCCGAAAAATTTTTTCCGAAAAACTCAAAAAATTAACAAGAAAACAGCGCCGCAGGCCAAAAATTTTAGAAACAAGGCAAAGTAGCTCTATAAATAGCAGTAAAAACGTGAAAAAAATAGCGCCGCAGGCAGCAAAATTTTTGAGAAAATAAAAATCATAAGGGTCCCCCCTTATGAAATTTTCGGGCCCCGGCCGATTTCGGGGGGGGGGCCCCGGGCCCAGGGGGCCCACCTTACGCTACGTCCCTGGACCGGGCTATACATTGCGAAACTTCCCGAATTTGTCGCATCCATTGCTGGATCAACGGATCCCTCAAGCTATGGTTCGATCAAATGTCTACATGGAGGATTTGATTTTCCAATGGACAACCTACAACTTATCCAGCTATTATGTAGCTACGTTCAGGGCGTTCCGCGAAAAAGAGCTTCGAGATATGTGGAAAGCCCAGCTGAGAAGCTTGCCCGAAGGCCCTGAGAAAGATAAGGCCTGGAGTGAAGCGCAGCTCCCAACCCATCGGTTTGATACTATTTTGGAACAGGAGTTCGGAGCCGCGCAGATTTTGCGTGATTTAGATGAAATCCTAAAGCGCAGGGAGATCGAGAGAATTGACTCGATTACTGATCGCATGGTGCCGAGAAGGCCAAATTTGGTAACTCGCGTGCCGCGCCAAAGTTATCAGGAAGCCCTCGAGAAGGCGCACAAAAAATCGGACGCAGCTGTTGCTGCCGGAGAAGTGCTAACAGAATATTATGAGCATTTGAATGGGCACTCCGAAAGACAGCGAGAGGCTGATCGGCAAAGGGATTACCATGGAAAAATCCAATATGCCTATGAAAGCCATGCGTTGCAGTCAAAAAAGGAATTCAAACGAGTATTTGAAGAGCTCTGCAACTTGTATAACAATCAGTTGGCAACCCAGCTAAGTCTTTTGAAAACGGACACGACTACCGGTGCCAGACTGCTCCTGAAGAGGAATGATATTGCGGCCTATATGGCTGGAGATGCGCTCCTTATCACGCAATGTCAACAAGTCAACGAGACACTGGTCTTTTGGAATCACACGGTTGAAGGCCGGTGCTTCTCTAATCTGCCTGTTCGTGTGGGAGAGCGAATGTACTTCGCATTGCCCGGAAGCCAAGATTTGGTCACGACTTCCCCTGAAGTTCCGTGTCATTTGCTGCCAACGATGGTTTACAAATCATCCGGGAAATACATGGCTAACGGCCAAGAGATTACGGTCAGGTATATTGAGAGGGAGCAAGTCCGAGGATCCGAATTTGCTGATTTAACATTTGGAGCACCAAGTGTCTTCTTGGACGAGATCGATGGAAACTTGCCGATCTCTTACGTAAATGCTGTGCTGAATAAAATGGCTATTGTGGCCGACCGACAAAAAATGCTGAACGGAGCTCTAGTTGAGAGAGGCGTTATAAATCTGCCGGACATTACGCTGCCTTCTCTGAATGTGTCAGGTGTCCCGAACGCTGTTTCGGGCACGGTGAGCGGAATTTTTGGCGGTGTGAGAGAAAAGGCGGCCGAAGCCCTGAATGAGCTCAAGAACGGTATTCTGAAAAGCATTTTGTATGTCGTTCTGCCAGTACTTGGACTATTCCTGTTGTTGGTCCTGATTTTCTTCGGTTTCAAATGTTATTTGAGTCGAAAGGTGGCCGTGGTTGGTGCCACCACCTTGTTGGACTTGGCGAGGAAAGGAACGCCCAGAATGAGACAAGCAGTATTGAGACTGGCGAGAGGATCTCAAGGGGCCTTAAATGTGTTGGAAATGGAAGAAGGACTGATGGAAGATGCCCCGCCCAGGAGAGCTAGGCGACCTTCACTTCTGTCCATGCCGGAATTAAATCACCTAATATGCATGTCGGTCGATTCGGCGCAGCTACCGTATGCGGCTGTGAATGTGAATAACAAGAAGGTGTTCTCGCTCGTGGATACGGGTGCGAATCTCTCGTTTATTTCAAGGCAAACTTGTGATGCGCTCAAAGTCCGAATCGAGAAAGGTCCCGTTATGTGGGCTAAGGCAGCCAACGGAACACTGTGCCGGTTCCAAGACAAGGCGAATCTGATTCTGACGCTTGCCGGCCAGTCGATCTCAAAGAAGATTTGGATCACGGATCAGGAAAATCCGCCGGCGCCCATGCTTCTGGGGACGGATACACTGAAGAAGTTTGGAGTAATTTCCTTCGACTTTAATAGAAATACCTTGGCAATAAATGGAAAGAGTGTTCCTTTGATCAAGCGCAATCAAATGCGTGAATATGAGGTTGCCGTGACTGAAAAGGTTGAAATCCCTGCCGGTGGAGTCGTTCAGATGCTCTGTGACACGACTGCCTCAGACGTAGACTACGGATCGGAAGTCTATATAGAAGGCATCCATTCTCACGGAGGCACCGGAAAGGATGACGAGGCATATCGTTTGTATTTGATCGCTCAAGCTGTTGATACGATCGGCAATAACGGGAAAGTGTGGACTCGAATCTGGAATTGTGGCCGAGGTGCCATTACATTTCATTCGAATCAGAGGATTGCCACGGCCAAGAATTACAACGACATCGTTTGTCACATGTCCGGTTTCGTGGAGGGTGAACCAGAATCGCCCGAACTGCTTGAAGGCGCGTATACGGACCTGGGTGAGTTGCCCTCGAATGAGAACTGGTTCGAGGAGTTGAACCTCGAGAAATCGAACCTCTCGGCTCAAGGACAGAGTCGGCTCAAGGAGATCATTCTGAAGCATGAAGCTGCGTTTGTTACGGATGGCCGGATTGGACATTTTACTGGAAAGACTCGGCACAGAATCGAGCTGGAGCCAGACTATAAAATGCCAACCGCGAGGCCCTATCCAACAAATCCGATGATGAAGCGGGAAATTGAGAAGCAGCTCGAGACTATGGAAAAGAACGGCGTAATTGAGCCGTCCACAAGCCCATTTTCCTCCCCAGTTTTGCTTGTGCCAAAGACTGGAGGTTGGCGCTTTGTGGTGGATTTCCGCACCTTGAATAAATACACGAAGAAGACAGTCTATGTGATGCCTACCGTGAATGAAGTCACGGAGCAAGCTGCTGAGCAGACTATCTTTACCGTGATGGATATCGATTCTGGGTTCTCGAACATTGAACTTGTCGAAGAACACCGGGAAAGAACCGCGTTCGCCACGCATATGGGTCTGTGGCAGTATCGGCAAATGCCGCAAGGAGCTTGCGGAGCGCCAGATACATTTGTGCGGGCGATGCGGGAAATGACAGCTGGAATACGCGCTCGAGTGTGGGTATACGTGGATGACATCGTCATCGGTTCTCCGACGGAAGCCGAACATCTGGAAGATGTGAATGAATTTCTGACGAAAGTCGTTGCCTCCGGATTGAAGATTAAGCCTTCCAAATGCCAACTTGGGCGTCTGGAAATTGAATTGTTAGGCTTCATCATTTCCCACAAGAAAATCCGGCCAAGCCCGAAAAAGCTGGATGCTATTTTGCGCTATCCTCAGCCTAAAACCGTCAAAGAATTGCAAGGATTTCTTGGACTTTGCAATTATTTTCGGAGATTTGTCCGAGATTATTCTAAATTGGCGGAATCTCTGACATCAATGACAAAGATGGTTGCATCTTTGAAGGGCGTGCAGAACGACAAGAAGAAGTTGGCTCTTGTCTATCAAGAGCACGGGAAAAGGGAAATTGAATGGAACGAATCGTCCCTGGAAGCTTTCGACAAACTTAAGAAAGCCATGACCGAGGAACCTGTACTGATGAGTCCAGATTTCTCAAAGCCGTTCCGGCTAGAGTCTGACGCCTCGATCAAAGGGCTATCTGCTATTTTAATGCAAGCCGACGATGAAAAACGCTGGCATCCAATCTCGTACTGGAGTCGTCCTACCAAAGGCCAAGAGCCAAAATTCCCGCCCATCGAGCTGGAAGCTCTTGCTTTGCTAGGTGGCCTGCGTAAACATCATCAGTATATCGTCGGAGCCAAGGTCGAATGCGTAACTGACCATTCCCCTCTTGTGTCTCTGTTGACGCGCAAGGACGTTACCGGACGCCTAGCCAAGTATCAGGCCCAATTGGGAGCCTATGACTTGACTATTGTATATCGGAAGGGCTGTCACAACCATGTGGCGGATGCATTGTCTCGATCTCCAGTGGATCTGGAGGTTAATGCCGTCAATGTGGCGACCGAAAGCGTGATTGCACGTAATCTGGGCAAGGTTCGGAAAGAACAGTTCGCAGACGCCAAATTGAGGCAGATCATTGATGACATCAAGAATGGCATTGATAACGATGCGAATGAGAAATATTTGGTAATACAGAATTTGCTGTATTACGTGCCAATTGGGCCGAACGATAGTCCCCGGCTCGTGATCCCCGAGAAATCCGAGCTGCGATGGGCCATCGTCAAGCAAGTTCATAATGCTATGGACGAGGCCGCTCACCTTGGAATCAAGAAAACCAAGGACCGAATTGCAGAGTGTGCAATTTGGAATCACATGGAGCAAGATATCACATCTTTCGTGAATGGCTGTCTCCCCTGCCAACGCAGGAAGGATCCACGGCACTATTCAATTCGATTGCCGTTGGGACAATACGATCCGCCACGGAATGTGGGCGACCGCCTTCACTTGGACGTGTTGGGTCCCTTGCCAATGACGGCGAGGAAACACAAGTATGCGGTCGTAGCCGTCGACGCCTTTAGCAAATACGTCTTTACTAAGGCCGTCGAGAGACAGACCGCTGAGGAAATGGTGGTTTTCTTGAGCGAAAGCGTGCTTGCTTTTATCGGCTGCCCAACGACGATCGTTACGGATCAGGGAGCGAATTTTGTCGGCGAGACATTCCGTTCGTGTCTGCTCACGTACGGAATTGAGCACTTGATTACCTCGCCCTACCACCACCAGGCGAATGGCCAAGTTGAGAGGACCAATCGAACCCTGGAAACGGCCATGACTCCGTACCTCAAGGACCGTGATTGGGATAATGTGCTTCCCTTGGTCACGACCGCCATCAATCGTTGTGTTCACGAAGTGACTGGCGTGAGTCCGGCCCGCGTTCTTTTCGGGTTCAACCCGACGTCTCCGTTCGAAGCCAAACTGGGCAGACCACGGAAGACGTTTGCTTCTCCCTCTGAGTATTTGGAGAAACTAGAGGGATATGTGTACGAATTGCGCGCCAAAGTTGCTGACAAATTGGAAGCTGGTCATGAACGTCAGAAAGACTATTTTGATCAGAAGTGGAACGTGAAAATGAACGTCTATGATGTCGGCGATAAGGTATTGCTCAGGCGCGAGACGGCCACTAAGCTGGAATACCAGTTTAGCCGACCAATGATCGTGATTGATATTCTTGGGAACAACTTGGTGCTCGAGGATCCTGTTAGCAAGAAGCGCACGATTACCCATGCGAACCGTGTGAGACGGTACAACGAGGGGCCGGCGGGGCGCGGCCTTCCCATTGGCGGGGGGCCCCCTCATCCGCTTGATGCGAATCTCGAGGAGGAAGATGAAGAAGCAGACGACGACGACGACGACCCCTACCTCGCTGCCTCCCTGGACATCTCTACTAGGCGTGTACGCTTTGCGGATGGGCGCTGACTACAACGAGTTCAATGGCACAACAACGAGTTCAATGGCATGACGACGACGACTACAATGACGATAAACGCAAATAAGTCTCTTTTATCTGAATACTCGAATATCTCGTCAATCTCTATCTATATCAGTTACCGAATTTAATTACCGCTACACCATGATACACCTTTGGATCATTTTGCTCGTCCACGCCATCTTGAGCCTCGCAAATCTTTTTACTAAAAGCCCATATCCGTTTTTCAATATTAAATCCGACCGCCTCACCTTACACGATGTCCAGCTCGCCCCTCTTCAAGATTTTATTGTTACATTTTATATTTTGTATGCTAGATATTTGTTAGTTCTGTTTGTGGTTAGTATTTTTCTTATTTTAATTTGTGTGATTTTCAATAAAGCACGGGACGTGCTTTTAATTGGAAAGGGGGATGTCGCGGAGGCTGAGTATAAAAGGCCTGGGAAGCCCTTATCGGGGCTCACTTCCCAGGCCCCCATCCCGGACGGCGGCGACTCGGAGAGTCGCCGACCGGCTCACCTTTACCGTAGGCTTAGCCTCCCGCGATGTTCTGTCTCCTAATTAATAGTCCTCCCAAAATATATAAGCACACATTAATAGAACTCATCAAGCCGCGTTTAGACATAACTAACACTATCTAACCGCGCAACATATTCTTCATTTATTTCGCCTATATTCATGTGAAAACTCGTTGTTTTTTTTGACAGAAACCCATTTTGGCTTTGCGTGGCGGCTGCGCATTTTTTAACTCAAGCCACCTAATTGTACAATTTGGAGCAACAGGTAAAAACGTCTTTTAAAATATTGACTACAAGCTTAAAAATTGGTCCATAATGGCCGACTTTATTACATCCGGTGCTGCAGGTTTTACTTTTTCAATTTTTGAAGCATCCTTTTTTAACGTTCTTGTCGGGCATTTTTATAACAAAACGCGTCCTTTACAGTATCCTCTTTTACGTATCCTTGAAAGTAAGATAATGCAGATATTGAAAAGCCCCGACGAAGGCATACGATTTATTAAACATTAGCATTGTCTTTTGGTCGCATCAATTTCCAAAAACGTTCTTTCGCGAAAAACGATGTTTCAGGAAAAACCACTATTTTATTGATTTATTTTTGTGTGATCAGCAGGATTATGTATTCGCTTTTGTGATCTAGATCTAAATACCATAAAATTGTGTTTTTTTAGTTTTACTTATCCTTGAAAGTAAATAATGCAGAAGTAAACAGCCCAGATCAGGAGCGATGTTTGATTGAGGATTGTCATCTTTTTCTGGCCATCTTATTCTCCAAAACATTCGTTCGGGAAAAATGATGTAGATTAATTTGTTGATTTTTTGAATTAGTACGCAAACAGTTTTTGCAACGATGTCTATAATATCCTCCAAAATTTCTGCGATTTTTGCTTCTTTCGCGAAAAATAGTGTTTCAGGAAAAATCATCATTTTGTTGATTTATTTATGCGTAATTGGCCCCATAGTTTTTTGAGGCATGTTGTAGCCTGGATTTCTAGATTTGAATTTCGTTAATATTAGCGTTAAAACTTATTTAATTTAAGAGTAATTAAACCAAATTTCCGCGAAAAACCCTTCGTTTTGTCAGCGATTCAGGTTTATCATTTCGGCTTTGCATCCCAGCGTTTTCCCTTGCCATCAGCTCATCTTATCCTTTTTCTGTTTTCGGTATCATCCCGGATTCGTCTTGCCAATCTCTCTCTCTCACTCTCGCTCTCTCTCTCTCTCTCTCTCTCTCTCCCACAAAATGCACAAACCGGGTGGATCCCGGGAAAGATGTGGTTTCTCCCCCGCCCGATCCGTGTTTAGAGTATGGAAACGGAAAACTGAGTGCTGATCCATGCCGAGCGAGAGAGAGAGCGAGAGAGAGCGCGAGAGAGAGAAAACATTCCCTGGATTTTTCTCCGTTTTCGGGAAACCTCCGCCCCGGCTCAAAATTAGTTACTTGGGCCCACCAGGCGTTCCCTATTTTTCTGAAAGATTTTCTGGTTTTCCACCAACTTCGAAACTAATTTTTTATATTAATTAAACTATTAAAATTTTGTATTCAATTTCTAGGTAATTAGGCCTAACTGTAAAGTGTTTTTACTCAAGTTGGAGTTTCGATTCGGGACCAAGTGCATCTTGTGCAGAATTTTTTGCTGATACCGAATCCGTTTTCCAAATTTGCTGCGGACTTTTATTTAAAAAGTCATTTTTGGTGCAAATTAAGCTTGAAAAAGCCGAAAATTCGGATCCTGGTCCACTATTCCCTCCATGGTTCTGCCTCTCCCAGGGGCCCTGAAGTACTCTGTTACAGCTCCCCTCCCGGTTGGCACCATGGTGCATTGGCAAAGTACTCGCTTGCCAAGCGCAGGGCGGCGGTTCGGAACCCGGCCCTGCACCCCTCTTTTGCTTTTCGAATAAAACAAAATTTAATTTTTTATAAAAAAGCTGGTTTTGACTTTTAAAATGCTTGTCTAGCCAATCTCTAGCCAATTTTGAAGTTGAAATTGATCAGGAAAATCGAAAACGATAACGGTTGCTTGATTTTGGTGAAAAACACTACCATAACCGCTGTATAACTTTCAAAATAAAAGTCCGCAGCAAATTTGGAAAGCGGATTCGGAATCAGCGAAAAATTCTGCACAAGATGCACTTGGTCCCGAATCGAAACTCCAACTTGAGTAAAAACACTTTACAGTAAGAAATCGATCATGAATAGGTTGCGTTTTCTTTCAACCATTCTTTATGTTTTGAAACAGATTTTTTTCTGATCTACGATCTTCGAAACAACTTTGATTTTTATATGATTTAGACAATTGGGTTAATGAATTAAAAACTCCGGATTAATTTTTTAGGTATAACAACAAGGAACCAAAATTAAATAAGTTGCTTTGCTTGTCAGCTGTTATCTATTTTTTCCGAAACAGCTTTTTTCTGATTTTTTACGATTTTCGAAACCGCGGTTTCAATATTTTTAAGCCATTAAAAATCTGCATTCATGATGTAGGTAATTATAATAACAGGAAATCCGATCGAGCAATACGTTGCTTGGCCTCTCAGCCGTAAGCTATTTTTGTAAAACATTTTTCTTATTTTTCTGAACCAGCGTGTGGAGCTACATCCATTTCAAGCGTCCCATTTGAAACACATCTCATTAAATCGTCCGATGTCCCAAAACTTACTTACTTTTTTGGAACATTTTTTCTAGCGAGGGCCCAGGTTTATGATAGAAGGTTCTATGGACTGCTCAATTTAAGCGGTTGCTATTTCAGGCGTCCCCATTATTTTTCTGCAACATTTTACCATAAGGGGATTGTGGTGCTTGTGTATTAACGGAGGGTGTGGGGAATCAACTTTCCCGCAAAACCACTTTTCCTTCTCGACTTTTCTAAGTTTTTCAGCATATTTTTAGATAGTTTTCTAGGCTTGAAAGGAAGTTAAAACTTGCTAAAAACACTATAATACACAACAAATACTTTTACGTCTACGTTAATGGGCATTTCAGGACGATGCGAAATTTCGCATTGAGAGGGACGCATTTAAGCATTTCTGCATCACCTCCCCTCCCCCGTTAATGCGAAAGCTCCGTAATATATAATTTCTTGTCTTCCAAGTCTCTTTAAATTAAAATAAAATGAGGCCATGACACTACTAAATCAACATAAAAAATTATTTGATGTTGATTTAGTAGTGTCATGGCCTCATCGCGTATCTTTAAAATCACCGATCCCTGTGTAAGGATTTGTATCGAAACACGTTTTTTTTTGCCTCGGCTTTCCGGATTAGATCGGTCCCCATATAAAATTTTAGCCATTTTAAAATATTTCGGAAACATTATTTCCTTTTGGAGGGTTATAAATTTACCAATTAAGCCATTGATTCACCATGATATTCCGGTTAAGAGTAAGTTTTAAAGAAATTTTTCAACCGAATTTTATGATTATTGCGACCACATAGACCGATCAGCAGGAACACCCATTTCTAAACCTCGTTTTCTGATAAAACATTTTGTCCTATTTTTTTTTAGAAATTTTGCAAGATTTCTGGCTTTTGTAACACTTTTTGCAGTTTTTAAAACCTTTTCTGCTGTGCTTTCTAAGGACATTTTTAACCGATTAAAAATACACTTCAAAAAATTTTTGACGGTGGTTTTTATGCTTCTATGTCCCAGGAATTTTGTGATTTTTTTAGGATATGCCACAGGAAACTATTAAGGAAAGTCGGCAAATCAAACCCATATCTATTGGATGAAACAGACTTTCCTTAGGTTTAAAAACATGTTGCAGAATTCCTGGTTGTTAGAAACGCTCGAAGTTCCCGATTTTCAGCCTCTTTCGGATGCACCCAAAAACGCTTGTCACTTTATATTTTGAAGTGCTCTCCGCTCTTGGCCTCTCTCTCTCTCTCTCTCTCTCTCTCTCTCTCTCTCTCTCTCCCTCTCTCTCGTCCTTTTCGGCGAATTTCCCCCCTAGAAACTCAGGGGTTCCGGGAGTGAACTATGGACAAGGCCTAGTGTGACGTAGCGAGTACCCAGTTCCAACATCACCTCTTGCAAATCCGAAATGAACAATGCTCAGGGTACGGTAGATTTTATCGATCGTAATAGATCTTCCGAAATATATGCGTTCATTTTAATTTTCTATTCACCCAAATTTAGTGCAGGTTCAGAAAAAAAGGAAAAAAATAAAAATTCTTAAAGTCAAGAATGTCTTAAGTCCCGAAACTTTTAGCGGTTACCGTAACCAAAAATGTAGGGTTTTTTGAAGATTTTTTCTATTGTGTAAAGATGCTTAAGATAAATTCACTAATTTTTAAAAATTTCTGCCAAAAAATAACATGTTTTGGCTATCCTTAAGAAGTAATCAATTCAACGCCTCGATAATCTTGTTATGCCAAAATTGTCAGGTTTAGGTATTGTTAGGTCAGCAAATTGTTCTTTTATGGTATTTCTTAATTAATAGCATTTCAAAGAATGTGCATCGCGGACA